TTGATAACTATAGGGAATAATTCAATCAATTAAACTTGTAGAATCTAAAGACGTGCTAATTATTTGCTATTCCTTTTATTTCATAAATTATTGAAAATCATAATACATTAGACAGTTATCTTACTTTAATTTGAAATATCTCAGCCAAATCACATCAGGGATTTGAAACAGGTTGATTTAGATCAATCAATGAGCAAAAGGCTTCTTGTTTTTAACCGTTTTCATAACTAATGTCAATGCGTGATGAAACCCAACATTAACTTAGATATTCTACTTTAATTTTCTAATCATTAATTAATAAGTGTCTAAATACAATAAAACAGTGAGGGTAATGATATATAAAATGAGGACTAGTGTTTTATTATCTTCACATACCCAAAGTTTGTATGACCATGTTTTTTTCATTATTATTAATAATGATAATTTTCGCTTAATGTTTTATGATACTTCTATATATTATTGTATTCATAATATTTTTAATATTAGAAGGGGTTTTTCGTAGACATTATGGTAATTCAATAGTTAAGATCATGAGTCGATTGAAGTTAAACCACCATAGGAAACGTGGAAGCACTAGACAGCCGTTTCGTTTTATTGTGTGACTCCTCAGCAGTGCACATCTACGATCTCGAGCGAGACTGATAGGTCTTGGGTTCGAATCTTGCGAAGCGTCCCACAATAGGACGAAATGACCGTTCAGTGCTTTCAGGTTTTCCATGATGGTCTAGCTTCAATTGACTCATGATCTCAACTACTGAAATTGATATTTTTAGGTTATTAAATGTCAGTTTATCTTTATTTCATTTATCTTTATTTCTTACTAACCACTTCTTTTACGAAACTCTTAAAAAAATCAAAAATCAAAATTGAACTTGTTATTAATCCATATTTAAATTTTGAAATTATTCCCTTTTACCTTAGTGAATACTATTAGACGCATAAAGTATGACTTTTGTTTAGATACCTTCCAGTAATTGTTGTCAGTGCAATATTTATGCGTTTATTAAATGTGAGGTCTAATTCATAAATTCTTTTCTTTATAATAATTATCAAGTCAATCATTAATATTATTTTAACAAAAACATGAGACAATATACTTTGAAAAATATAAGTGAAGTCGTATACATTGTAATATCAAAAATAGTTAATACATCACATAACGATATTGATTTTTCAGTGAATAGTTGTTCCTCTTATCTAATAGTAAAGTAGTAACTAATCTGTTTATGTAAACCTTTACTTCATAATTTTTTTCACCAGTCCAAATATTGGAATAGATTTCTTTTATTTTCCAAAAAGAGTCTTTAGTTAACTAGTCATGTTAACTAACTGTAATATCAACTTACAATTTCATAAATATACATTCGACTTATCACGATGCCAGTTACCGATGCTTTCAAGTGAAAACATCACAGTGGTTGATATACTCGCCTATTTGTCTATCTGTTAGCAAAACGAGACTCGATTACATTAGAATCCATTTATAGAAAGCATCATATGCGTGTAGTGTAGTAGGTGGTACTATGCCAAGCCCACATAAGTTATTCTAGCTTCTGAACAGGCTGATTTATTCAATCTCTTCAAACCATATTTTGACTTTGTCACTTATTCACTTGTTAACCAAGATCGCATGTGTGCTAATTACTTATCCTATTCATGATATATCCGCAAATTATTTTTGTTTGACTATAAAATCGTACACGTTTGGTTAAATCGAGTTGGCTCACATGTCTTCTCCGATCTACTTCGCTTCTCTCCCTCACTTCTTCGATTTCTTCGCTGAGTCCTCCTAATCGTCTGCCTAGATCAACGATTGTATGAAATATACGTATTCAAAATCCACTCTCGCATATAACCTATTTAATTCCGTTATTCACTAACACGATTTAAGTCGATAATTGTTTACGAGGGTAGCCAGGACGTATATTTCAATGTTGATCACATGGTCTAATTGGAGTAAGATTTCGGTCCATTAAAGTAGTACAACACAATTTGTCTGTCATAGTATATAATGGAAACTTTTATGAGTTTGGAACTAATTCAAACTTATCTCGGACTTACAGTAACTAATAATTGATCGCTATCGTACAATCTTTTTCAGTATCCCGTTTAAATTATAAAAATAAGATAAATATTAAGGAAGTATTTGTTCTAATACTTTATGTTTAACGAACACAAGCGGTGCATATAACAGAACTGAGTGAAGTAAATGACATTAATTATGAAGTGTTTTATAAAATTTATAAAGATGAATGTGTTGAAATCCAGTTTTTTTATCTGTTTTGGCGTGAATACTAACCACTGTCTTCCTACTTCTTCACCTTTGGGTCAAGTCATGTAAGTCCGCGGACGATTTTCAGACTGCAAGGATTTTGTTGTGTCCGGAATCGCATGAAATCAGTTCACCAGTACGATTAAATCAAATTGACAGTATTATTCAGTGAAGAAGCAGATTCATCTTCCTTGCTTATCATATATCAGTTCATGGCAAATGCAGCGACTATCAACAGGGACGTGATTTATAGATGATAATGTACGCGCCCTGTAACTTTTCTCCAATAAGCTTCATATTCTCACAGGTTAATTGATTTCTCAACTTACAGACAATAAAAAATACAGCAATTCAAAGTTTGAGGTTCTCGATCATCTTATAGACTTCATGTAACTATGAAGAATACACGATATCAGTTACTGGATGAAAACTATACTGACTGATCAAAATCAAATAATAATCCAACCAGTTCCAGAGGGTATAACAGTAGACCTAAATCGACATGAATCGCCTAGATGGTATGTCCCACTTTTCAAGTGATCTACCTGATATTATTTTTTGATGGGAATTATTTTTAATTTACAGAAAATTCCAGTGAAGTCAGTTAATGAATTAATAATAGTGTTCTAGTGATACAGACTGAAAATAAAGTTGGAAAATTTCTTCCCTTGAAATTCAGAGAATCTTGTAAACGACTTTAGGAGAAGAGAAACGCAGTTATGACAGAATTCGTGGAAATGAATTTTATCAATAACTGAACATAAACATTGACACAATGAAAACAAAATATCAAATCTTATTACTTTATGTATTCCAAACAACAAGAGTTTCTGTTTAGTATGAGCATAGAAGATTATACACGTTTAAGAAAACACCCCTTTAAAATGCAGAATGCCAGTAATTGATTGGTCTGTCATTTCCACTCAACATTTTATTAACCTCGACAATGTATAGAGTTAGCTAAGAAATGAATTCTAGACAAAATGGTATGTGAGTTTATTATATATTAAATTAAATTTACTCTATAAAAACGAGCATCATGTGAAATTGTAGCTCTATGATCGATAGTGAATGAAGATAACACGAATAGGTTGAACTGGAAAACATGCATCGACGTATTTTTCATCAATTACCAACACTAATGTGGTCATCAATATCAATATAAAAGTTCCATGTAAAGTATTTATTGTACGTTCTGAGATCTTATTTTGTATGATTGGTTTTCTAGTAAATTTGATGAACAAAGGTAATATTTGTAAAAATAACTATACGTTCGATTGGTTTAAAATTTACCATTTTAATAAAAATGAAAAAAAAAACGGCGTGACTCTAATTTAGGGAGGAGCTGATCAGAAGCGTTTGAGCAATTTCAGTTATTAGCCAATCAGAAGACAGTTAGTATAAAGTAAAAATATATTATAAGAAAGTAATGAATTACAGTGGATATTCTTCTTTTACATGATATAAAAACTTGTTAAGGTTTGATAAAGGTTCAGAGGTTTTGGATTCATAATGCATACCATATAGAAACTCGTCCATAAGTTTAGGGTTAGGGATTAGGGTTGTAGCCTCTCAATAATAACCTCTTCTCTAAAAACCGCTGTAAACCGATCGTATGTTGGCATCAAATGTTGATTTTGGCTTCGTGACCCTGAAATTTCTCAAACGCTTCTGATTGTCTCGTCTCTATATTAGAGTCTCGTCAGCGTAACCCTAACCTTAACCCTAAACCCTAAATCCTAATCCTAATACTAACCTCTAACCCTAAACCTAACCCTATGGACGAGTTTCTATACAGTATGCATTATGAATTCAGAACCTCTGAACCTTTATCAAACCTTAACAAGTTTTTAAATCATGTAAAAGAAGAATATCCACTGTAATTCATTACTTTCTTATAATATATTTTTTACTTTATACTGTCTCCTGATTGACTAATAATTGAAATTGCTCAAACGCTTCTGATTGGCTCCTGCCTAAATTAGAGTCTCGTCAAAAAAGTCTATCAATCATTAATCACTCATTTTTATCCATAAAAACCAGAGGATAAACATTATCACAACAAAATAGGTAAAGATTTTGGCTCAACATTAAAATAATAATCAGTATAGAGTTGTGGAGATTACTGAGTTTCGATTGATATCATGAATGGATCAATGTTGGATCACCATTGAAAACTTGGCCGTTTCATCCTTGTCTGGGACTCCTCAGCACTAAGCATTCACGATTCCACACAATGGACTACAACCCAGTAACTTTGATCTCATGTGCGAAAAATTAACCTCTAGACCACTGAGCCAGTATCCAATGATATTAGTTTATCATGATTATTATTCAGTTATTATTATTATGATGATGATCTTTACGTTTTTCATACATTCTCTATACCTATAAATGATATTTAATTGAATAAATTTATTTAGTTAAATGATTGGTTTAATGCTTTCAATGTTTACACATTGTATTAACCAATCATAAATGAGGACAATAATTAACTCATATAAAACTAAGATTGTATAAATATAATATCAATTTACATTTTTCATTATGATTGATTGATTTAACAAAGAAAAAAAATCATGTCGAAATAAATTTTTTTCTTTTTTATCAAAAAAAAGAGAACAAAAATAAAGAACAAAAATAAAATTAAAAAAAGAAAATTTTTTTAGTTTTTTTTTTGTTGTTGTTGTTGTTTTAATTTTTCGAATAATCATTCAATATTCAAATCATGCCATGTATACAAAATAATTCAAATGAATTTCTTATTGAAGAAATTATAATGTTAAATTTTCGTGGTTATATTATGCCAATATTTATTATATTTGGTATAATTGGAAGTAGTTTTGTTATAAATAGTTTTTATTCAATGCAAAAATTACAACCATCAAGATTTAATATTTATATTATATGGATTACAATATTTCAAATTGTGGATTTAATAACTAATACATTTTTAGATGATTTTCTTGGACGTGGTTTAACATGGGCAAGTGATTGTAAAATATTTATTAAATTAGATACTATATCATCATTCTCATGTAAAATAATGAATTATATACCTTATACATCTGTATTAATATCAAATACATTATTAGTTATATTTAGTATAGATCGTTTATTAACTACATATAAACCAATTAAATTTCGTGGTGATATTTATTTATTATTACCACGTTTATTTATTATTATAATAATATGTATATCTATGTTATTATATTTACCACAATTAATTTATTCTGATTTAACAATTCATGATAATAATTCATTAATTGGTAATTATACATGTCAATATATAAATTCATTATATTTTGGTGTACAATATAGTTTATATTTATCAACAATTGGTGGTTATATAATACCAACTATATTAATAGCTATAATAAATATTATAATTATTTTACGTTTACGTTATTTAATAAAAAATAGACAATTATTAAATAGTAGACATAATTCTATGATACATAATAAAATCTCTATTGATAATACTACTACTATTACTACTACTACTACTACTAATAATAATAATAATAATAGTAATAATAATACTTTAAATGATCGAAAATATTCCTTATCAAATCAATCAATATTGAATCCAAATAAACAATTAATAAATGAAAATCATAATGAAATGAGAAGAATTATTGGACATTTAATGGTTACATCTATTTTTTTATTATTTTCTATACCATTAATTGTTATAATTATATTAAGACAAAAATCAGATTTTCATAATTATTATAAAATTTATCCAATTTATGTTAAACGTTTAATTCATTTATCAAGATTATTTAGTTCACTTACATCTATTATATGTTCATTTAATTTTTTTATATTTTTTATATTTTTACCAAATTTTCGTCATATGGTTTATTTATCTATTTTTTCATTACCATTTATTAAAACAACAAAATATTCTATTAAACATATTGAACAAATTGAAATTAAATTATCAAATCGTTTAAGAACACGTTTTAGACGATCAATTGAATCAAAATTATTACAAACTACTATATTACAAAAAACACGTACTAAATCAATAAGTTAATTTATGAAAGATTATTATAGAAAAAAAAACGAAGAAAAAAGGACAAAAAGAAAAAACGAAGAAAAAAGAAAAAAAGAAAAAAAGAAAAGAAAAAACGAAAAAAACTTTAACAAACGGATAATATTTTTCTTATTTATTTTAATTCCAGTTTATAATAATAATTAGTGAATCATAAATGTAGAAAAAAGAGTTCATCGAAAGTGAAATGGAAAAAAGCATTATGTTGGTTATGTTTTTCCAATGATTGTTAGCTGATTCTTTTTTTATGTAATTGTATTTTATTAAATGAATTTTATATTGAATATATAAATAAAAATATTTTACAAATTTTACATACAAATAATTGATTTTATAAAAAGGATTAGATCAATTTGACAATATTGATAATCAGAAGCGGTTTTTGTGGAGATTGTAGTAATTTCAATAGTTGAGAACATGAGATCACCCTGAGGATTCCCACAATAAAACGAAACGGCCGTCCAGTGTTTCTAGGTTTTCCATGATGGTCTAGCTTCAATTGACTCATGACCACAACTGTTGAAATTATTACAATCTCCACAAAAACCCCTCCTGATACTGATCACCATATGCTCACTAGTGAATGGCTTAAAGATATATATCCTGGAGTTCTAGTGAGAAGCAGTGATCAGTGGAGTTCAACCGAGTCAGTTGTGAGGTAGTAACTCATTGATTACAATGGTCGGTTTGTCTCTCAATTTCGTGGATAAGTTGAAGTTAGAAATTAACACCGTTGGTCTGGTGATTAAGTGCTCGTGGGCGAAACTGATAGGTTCCGGGTTCAAATCTCACGGGGTGCGAGATCGTGGATGCGCACTGCTGAGGAGTTCCACAGTAGAATGAAACGGTCATACAGTGCTTTCATGTTTTTCATGGTGGTCTAGCTTCAATTGATTCATAATCTTAACTGTTGAAATATTGATAATAATGTGTATACTTTGAAATAGATAGTTACTAAAAAGAATAGAAGTATATTAAGAAATGAATGACTTTACTCTTAAATGTTAGTTAATGATTGAAAATCAATACAGTTTAAGATATTTTAGTAGGTTTTAATTGTGATTATTTTAACACAGTTCACTATTGAGTTAAAATCGAAAGATTAATTCTTTGAGTAAGCATATTGTAGTAGATCCCTAAAATAAACTGGGTATAGATATATTGAGTCTACTATTATGATGAGTTATTAATTCGTAGCTTGTCAAGTTACTCTGTATTTTGTAATATAAGATAATGTAAATCAATGAGGATTTCTTCCACGTTCTGGTATGTCTAAAAGCAAGTGATTAACTCATTAGTTGAGTGCGGAAACTAGTTTATGTTGATGCAAAACAGATGAAAGGTGTCAAGATGATTTTTTGTTCATAGTCAACCCTAATAAATCATTATTGAGGCAGCTTACATTTACTTTTCGTCTAATCATTGGAAGGAGGATCTCAGTGGCTTTTCTAAGTGATTCGAACTACAAATCATATTGGATAAACTATTTTAGACATTACCTGTATCCACATCCAGTATACTTATTATAATTTATATACGATAAGAATTTCGTCTCGCAAACTAGCTGGTATTCAAAGTTGACATCTAATAAGATTATTTTCTTTACTTTAGGATGTGCTTTGATTATGACATCATAGAGTAGACTAATTTGTCAATATGGAGTTATGAAAGCTGACCTATCAGTCATGACAAAATTTGAGAAATTTTACTGACTAAAACGAATAATTATAACTGATTAGTCGGACTTTTGATATAACAAAATTATGCTATAACTTAAACACAAGGAATCGTTTAAAAGACGTTAGATTGTTTCATAACCTAAAAACAACTCGTTTTTTTAAGAGAATGAACCACGTTTTCCTTCCATCATATTCTTGAACTTCTGAATAACCTGAGTATATGAAAAATCCCTCCTTTCGAAAATCCATTCAGAAATTTAAAACATAATTATTCATTTCTAACATTTAAATGATTATTATTGTCAAAATGATATAAATTATACCTCCATGTGAAAGTATCAATCATCTGTCTTTATTCAATAAATAGATTTAACAAAATGTCAATGGTGATTGTTTACATATACAAAGTGATATGACAACAGTTACAATTGATGAAAATTCATACCATCAATGGGTTTATTCACTTCATAACTAGTTAACAACAGATTAAAATAAGATACCTGACCACGTTTGTAGTTTTAATTCATCATTTACATCATAAATTATCTAGTTTTCATGTTTGCATAATAAAATCTACACATTGATAACATAAGTGATTGTCGACATATGAAGATAAAGAGAGAGAGAGAGAGAGGGAGATGCCCATTAGTAGTATATCGTCTAAAAGTCGTTGATTTACTTTTGTAATTCACAAATTATCAATATTCCTACTGACATACAGTTAATTCAGGGTTTTCAAAAACACGATATGATTAAACGTAGGTTTTTGTGAAGGGTTTTTTTTAGAAGTTGGTAATCATACTTTATTTTTCATTCTGTTGTGTTGTAATTACATAGTTGCATGGAAATTGATTTTACATTGGAAGTTATCAACTGTTATGTTCATATAGTTTGATTAAAAAGAAACTTACTTATTAGATTATCTAAATTCAATTAGGTAGATAACTTCAATTTATCTAGTCAAAATACTATCATTATCTTGATATCTTACCATCATTAAGACTAATAATTTCGTAAATAATTTAGATGACAGTCACTCAACGTTACTATTTCTTACGTTAAAATAAACATTTGATCTTATTTGTAATTACATTGTCTTGTTAGTCATATTTATTCTATTTATTAATTGGATACCACTCACGAATCTGTTTCTATGTAACTCAAAACACTTTCCATGTTAGTTTGAAAAATTCTAGTACTTAGTAAATTATCACTTTTACTAAAATGTACCATCATAAACTGGTTTACTTCTTGTTATCTCATTGATGAATTGCACAGAACTTAGTATTAGTTAATAAAATAAATTCCTATGATTCCTCAATAAAAATTAAATTACACATACCAATGAAATACTTACATAAAAATGGAAATAGTGAATAATTATTGACGATAGTCTGAATTGGAAATTTTGTCTCATAAACATCATGTTACGCTTTTATTGATCAACCTATTTAATTAGTAAAGAATTTGATTGAGACTGCTGGTGGGTGGCCTATGCTCCTCCACGAGGTGTACCAGGCGTAAGTAAGTAAGTAAGTAAGCACTGAATAAACTTTCGATTATGTAATAAGAGATGACCTATTATTTATTGATTTATTCGTTGTTTATTATTGTTCAAAACGAACTATTTGGTATCAGTTTCAGTCGGTGTTTTTTGTTCGATCGCACATATCGACAAATGCAAGCAAACTATTGTTTTTTCGATTTTTTTTCATTTTTGTATTGGCCCACTAATAACTATTATAAAATGTTTATTTGACCTGATCATAAATTATATAGAATAATGAATTATCTAAAATCAACTAAACAATCATCTTATCTTCACTTATCCAATGTGACCAGTTGTTGTTGTTGTCCATTTGAGTTTTTTTATGTGAAACTCCATTAATCATTTAATAAGGAATCATTGTCATTATATAAAATCATTTCATACATATTGATGAAAGACTGTTTATTCAAATGACTATCAGAAAATTACAAGGAAATGTAGTAGCATCTACAACATTCTATGATATATATGTTATGGACCGAATCCGCCAATCAGAAGCAGCGAATTATCGACCGGACCAAGGACGCGTAAAACACATGCGAGCAGTCTAGAGTTCTGATTAATCCTACTTTCCTCCTAGCCCAGTCAGTTAAGTCCAGAACACCAGTCTCAGTCTCTGCAATATAAGTCATTATATTTCAAACATACTGAGTTTATATACCAATCAAACAGACCACATCGTACCAATAAAATATGGAACAACATTTGTACAAGAATTAGCCAGATGTGGCTGTGAATGAGGGAGGTGGTAATTAATATACTTGATATAAATTAAGAACGGTAAAACGTACAATAATAGTTTATGGGTAAAAATAAAGCTTATAATGAAAGGAATATGAATATGCATAGTTTAGTTACTCAGTAATTATACAATAGAAATATACGCATAGTATTGGTCCATCAATAGATCCCAAAAGTTACCATTCATTATTCTTGTTGGGACATAAAAATATATTTGTAAAACCACAATAAAAAAAACCCATGCGAAATAAAATACTTCTTAACTCTATTAGTCCATTTTAAGTAGCTAAATGGACATCTTTACCTTACGTAGATATTTTCTTAAGTATCAATGCATGAATATAATATAATATAGATTATAAACATTAATATATTTCAGTTAATAACATCACATTTGGTTATTCAATACAAAGTAGTTTACTCTTTTAAAAGTTTAGTTTTTATTTAGTTAAATGAAATTGATGAATATACTATGAAATTCAGGTTAAAACCATGTTAAAACAAATGATAGATCATATTTTGAAATTACTCCATATATAATCACAAAGGAAATCAACGGTCATGGTTTGAGAAATATACGTAATAAGATAGTTTACACAAAAAGAATTCATAGTCTTCTTTTTAATATTAATGTCATTAAGATCAGTCAGTTCAAATACATCTTAAGGAAACATTTCACGATATATAATAGATTAGGTTTAGATATTTAGCGAACCATTTTACTAATTCATTTGTGCGTGAACCATATATAGAAAATATTGGTCATAATATATTATTTAGTTTATGAATTTTAGGTAATCTATATAAATTTGAGAGTACAAAACTGATAGGTTTTAGCATATTAAATTACTCCTTGTTTATATGACATTCATTTTAAAGAGCATCATTAGATTGAAATTCACTCTAGATCCCAACCACCCATATTACGAATTTATATGGATTATCTAAAATTAATAAAATTATTAATCCAGTATAATAACAGAATTTAAAATAGTACTAAATGCTTGATTACA